CACACAACACCATTGATTCATTCATTGATTCATTCAATTACATTCATACATTACATACATACATACATACATACATACATACATACATACATACATACATACATACATACATACATGTATACATATAAACACACACACATGCACACTCACACTCACGCTCACACTCACACTCACACTCACACTCACACTCACACTCACACTCACACACACACACCCCAGCTTTAGATAATCAATATTTAACCTTAGTGATTGTTATTTAATTAAAGTGAATTATGTGTAAAGAGTAAACTACTAGTATATTTACTTTTAAGTACCAGCTTTGATGGGTAGTCTTATCATACTAAATAAAATGCTTACAATAGGCAAGTAATATCCCTCAAAAGTTTGAATGAGAACAATGTCCCGAATATACATTTTAAAAGCCACTCCCCCCCCATTTCTAGCTCCTTGAGTCACCAAAAACAGGATTGTAAATCTTTGTCTTTTCCTACAGAGGGTCCAGGGAGGATATGATGGCAGCAGCACAGAGTACAAGGCCAGGCAACATGAAGGACATCTTAGTGGATTCTGAGGCTCCTCCCTCGAGCGCTTAAGAAAAACATACCCATGTTTCACACACACAAACCCCTTCCGTGCCATGTGGGAGTATCGACAAATGCAAACAGTCATGGTTGTTATAGATGAGCTGCCTGGGTTTCATGTTCTAAGGAAGGTGATTCTCGTCATTGTAATTTTTCTTTCTTTCTTTCTTTCTTTTCTGAAAGGGATTTGGAACATGGATTTATATCTCAATTCAAATAGAAAATTAGAATGTAGTGTCATGTCCCATTCTTTAAAAGATACTACATGAGCTTGTATGGGATTAAAGAACTGTGCATAGAGCTGCGAACAGTAGCCTAGTTCATGTTAATTGGGCTAACTACTTGAAATTTGTACTTAGGTTCTTTGTTCTCTGGAAACAGTATTTAACTCAAAGAATTTGGTGTTTTGACTATTTTTTCATTTGCCTATTAACTTGAATGATTAATTTGCGTAAGCCTTTTTCTTACTGAATTGCGACTTACTGTATCTTTAAAAGAGTGTTGTGAAATTTGTTCAGCTGTCCTCTTTTATGATCACATGTGGTGGATTCTCCTTTCCCTTGTTGAACATTATCCTATGAATGTCCCATACCTCAGGCAGCTGTAGTGATGCTGATATTGATTAAGACAATGTTTGATTACTGACACGGAGCACATTTTCGAATTTGTAGAAGCTTTAATTAAAGTGTTTAAACAGTGTAGAAGGAGATTTTTGGGAAATTTTTAAATATATGACTTAATTTTGTAAGGCTGCCATGGGATGCTTGTAAAAATGCCATCAGGATCTCATGAAGTTCCTGGTCTATTTTTCTTTTGTCCTTCTTACTTTTTGTTCTTCCATTAATACTAGAGTAAGAAGAAAATGCTTACTTCTTTGGAAATCTGAATGTGCAGTTGTTAAGCTTTGCTTTTATGTTTTATATATATAAGGAATCCAAAGCAAGAGGTTTAGAAACAGTAGTTGATTGTAAACATTGTATGTAAATCTTAAGCACATAATTAGTTGCTTTATTTCATCTTGAAAATCCACACATTTATATTTCTTGATTGATAAATAAATCAAGTATGACAGTTGGAAATTGTAATCTGCCTTTCAGTCTTCTGTTGGTAATTTGATTATGAAAAAGGGCTATCCATTTGTTGTACAATGCCCTACATTAGCACTGACATCCTCCTGGTTTAGATGTCAAATGTGATTCTCAAGTACTTTTATAAATGGTTATTGTTAAGAAGTGGTTGCCTGAAAGTTTCATTTGGTCTGAAAATGAACAAAGTCCTGAGCATTTTCACCTAACTTTACATTCCAAAGCTAGAAATACCTATAATGAAAAGTTTAAGGAATATTTGAAGTTTATACCTATATCTATATATATTTCTTATCTATTTGTTGTCTATCCATATGCCTTAAACCAATGAGAATCTTGAAAGAATAGATAACATGCTGGTGATGGTACAGCTTCATTCATGTTGGTTAATTTACAGCCATGAAAGGATGAATATTGTTAGAAATCTGGTCAACAGGGTGGGTGCTGTGTTCAGAAGATGAATATTTTAGTATATATAAGCTTAAATGTTTCTGTAAATGCAGATCCAATTGTGTCAATAAGTAAAAGTTTTGAAACTAAAGCTTCTACCACACACATTTGTTACACACAACCGAGTTCAATAAAAGCTTAATATTTTGCCTTTATATTGTGTTGATTAAATTTAGTTGATGGATGTATTTATAAATTGATTTGACTAAAAAGATGAAGATAAGGGAATTCTGAGGCCAAAGCACTTTAAGATTAAGGACTGGAACATAAGGCAGCCAACACTATTATAAGTCCACTGTGGGTCACAGAATTTTATGAAGTTTGTAAATTACATATGCATTGCATTGATTATTGGGCACAGATTTTTAACACCACCTTCTCAGTTTTTGCATTCGTTAGCAGATTATATTTTCGTATACATATATTTCTCTATTCTATTACTCTTCTAACTTCAGTGTTGAGCATTAATTATAACAGTTAATTAAGCAATTTTTCTTTAGGCTGTAATCCATACATATCGTAAACATGAAACCTTTGGTTTGTTTGAAAAAGTGAAAAGAAAAGTATTATATGGTATACATTACCAAGTAACACAGGATCACTGCCGCTTTAGAATAACACTTGTCAGATCGTCTAAGTGGATGTGGCATATGAATGTCATAAATGTAAAAATTGAAAATAGATGAGAATATTAGACATCACCATTTAAAAATTATTGTGTATTTGTATTAGAAAAAAAAAAAAAAAAACGATATTTTTAATTGCTTAAGCAGTCCCTTCTTATTTAGTAAACAAAAAACCATTCCATTTCCAAATCTCCTTTCATTGATTGTGTATTCTCAAATGGCACAGATTTAGCCATGCATATCTGAGTCAGCCATGCTGGTATTTTCATGTTATTGGTCTCTGGTTTGGAAGAGGTCTCCAAGTGGTCCTCAGTACCACTGTCATAGATTTAGAACTCAGGCCACTTGCTGCCCCCCCCCCCTTTCTTACCTAATGATTTCACAATCTTTTGCACATTCAGTTTTACCCTACCCTTTTGTAATTCAAATCTGTTCAATGCCTTTTTATAATTTTCATGAAATGGTTACCGATTGTGTATACCTGGGCTTTTAGGAAGGGTCCATCCATATATAATCTGTGGAAATGTTGAGTGTATGATGTGCTTTTGTAGGCATTTTATCTGATATTGTAAAGATAATGTACATTTGTGAGAGCCTAGAATTGGTGTAAATAAGTTGTTAGTTGTTGGGTACATATGACAATTTAGTTCAGGACTCATAGGGTTGCACCAAATTTGTACTTTTGGAAGTATATGTTACTCTTGTGAATAAATTCAATTGTGGTCTTTGGAATGTCTGTGAATGAAATGACTTTTCCACTACCTATCTCCTGAATAAATTTGTCAGTGTAATTTGTTAAGAAACATCTGTATACATGTGAGTTGTGTTCATTTGCTGGATCATCTTATGTTTGTCTATATTATATTCTTCAATTTGCATGTGATTTGATTTTGTATGAAATGAGGATTTAGGTTTTTTCATAAATCAGTAAATATTTTTCTAACTTTTTCTTCTTTGGTTAATGGATCTACATATGTTCTCTTCTTATACTCTTCCTAAAATTGTGTTAAATTGATTTCTCAGTAAAGTAGCTTTTTTATAATGTGTTCAGAATCAAAAGTTAAATGTAGTCAAGAAGAGATCTCAAGGTGGTCTTCTGAGAATCTCAGTTTGGGCTGGACTGCCTTCACTCCAGTCTAGATCCACCATCTGAGGCTCAAGATCTTTCAATGCCTCTGCGGTATTGTTCTTTACTGTTTGTCCTCCAGAGTGTGTGTATTTATGTGAAGTCATCTAGTGGTACCCAATAAACAAGAGAAATTTACTTTGGTTCTGAATTATCATTTTTGATGGGTAGTGAAGAACAGATTACCAATTTACTCTTTTTTTATACATTCCTTAACAATCACCACATACACCATACACATGGAAAGAAAAAAATGGTATATATCATGTTACTATACAAAATATTACATGGGAAAAAGAATGACAATTAGTGTTTGAGCTCTTTAAGTCACTCACAACCATTTTTAAGCCTAACTCTATTAGCAAGAGAATATGCTTCTTCCTCACACATTATACAATAAGTGAATATCAACATCCTCAATCGAGGAGGAAAAACGGATGTGGAATGTTCTACAAGATGAAGTCCAGGGTATCCTTAGCGCATGTCATCTGCACTGAAAAGACCCTGAAAGTGAGAGAGGGAAAATTACTCTATGTTCATTAAGGGAATGAATTAAAATTCAACTGATTGTGTAGTAACTCCTTTGTCATCACTGAGATAGAACTAAATTTATGTATTTACAATTTATACCTTTACAATAAATAAATTATGAGAAGAAAATCAAATGCACTTATTTGAGAGAAAATATTGAGACAGATAAAGGAGGAAATACTCAAAAAACCTGATTAGTTATTTAACAATGTCACAAAAAAAAGTTGAAATACAAATAAAGAGAAAGATCAAATTTAAGATGAGAGACACAAGAAGCAAATTACTCCACAGCAGGCAAGTTGTCATTGCTGGCAGGAATGAAATAACATACAGGCAAAACTGAATGGTGAAAGAGATATTCTAGGGAGAATCAACAATGATGAAGAGAAGAAGGAGAGAGAAGGAGAAGGAGAAGGAGAAGAAGGAGGAGGAGAAGAAGGAGAAGAAGGAGAAGAAGAGGAGGAGAAGAAGGAGAAGGAGAAGGAGAAGAAGGAGAAGGAGAAGAGAGGAGAGAAGGAGAAAGGAGAGCAGGAGAGAGAAGAAGAGAAGGAGAAGAAGGAGAAGGAGAGAAGAGGAGGAGAGAAGAAGAAAGAAGGATAAGGAAGAAGAAGAGAGAAGGAGAAGAAGGAGAAGGAGAAGGAGAAGGAGAAGGAGAAGGAGAAGGAGAAGGAGAAGAAGAAGAAGGAGAAGGAGAAGAGAAGAGAAGAAGGAGAAGAAGGAAGAAGGAGAGAGAAGAGAAGGAGAAGGAGAAGAGGAGAAAGAAGAAGAAGAAAGAAGAAGGAAGAAGAAGAAGGAGAAAGGGAGAAGGAGAAGGAGAAGGAGAAGAAGAAGAAGGAAGAAGGAGAGAAGGAGAAGGAAGGAGAGGAGAAGAAGAGAAGGAGAAGAAGGAAGAAGGAGAGAAGGAAAGAAGGAGAAGGAGAAGAAGGAGAGAAGGAGAAGAAGGAGAAGAAGAGAAGAAGGGAGAAGGAGAAGGAGAAAGAAGGAGAAGGAGAAGGAGGAAGAAGGAGAAGGAGAAAGAAGAAGAAGAAGGGAGAAGGAGAAGGAGAAGAAGGAGAAGGAGAAGAGAAGAAGAAGGAGAAGGAGAAGGAGAGAAGAAGGAGAAGGAGAGAAGGAGAAGGAAGAAGGAGAAGGAGAAGAAGGAGAAGGAGAAGGAGAAGGAGAAGGAGAAGGAGAAGGAGAAGGAGAAGGAGAAGGAGAAGGAGAAGGAGAAGGAGAAGAGAAGGAGAAGGAGAAGGAGAAGAAGGAGAAGGAGAAGGAGAAGGAGAGAAGGAGAAGGAGAAGGAGAGAAGGAGAAGGAGAAGGAGAAGGAGAAGAAGAGAAGGAGAAGGAGAAGGAGAAGGAGAAGAAGGAGAAGGAGGAGAAGGAGAAGAAGGAGGAGGAGAAGGAGAAGAAGGAGAAGGAGAAGGAGAAGGAGAAGAAGGAGAAGGAGAAGGAGAAGAAGGAGAAGGAGAAAGAAGGAGAAGGAGAAGGAGAAGAAGGAGAAGAAAGGAGAAGAGAGAAGGAGAAGGAGAAGAAGGAGAAGGAAGAAGGAGAGGAGAAGAAGGAGAAGGAGAAGGAGAAGGAGAAGGAGAAGGAGAAGAAGGAGAAGGAGAAGGAAGAAGGAGAAAGAAGGAGAAGGAGAAGAGAAGAAGGAGAAGGAGAAGGAGAGAAGAAGGAGAAGGAGAAGGAGAGAAGGAGAAGGAAGGAGAAGGAGAAGAAGGAGAAGAAGGAAGAGAAGGAGAAGAAGGAGAAGGAGAAGGAGAAAGAAGGAGAAGAAGAGAAGAAGGAGAAGGAGAGAAGAGAGAAGGAGAAGGAGAAGAAGGAGAAGAAGGAGAAGGGAGAAGAAGGAGAAGAGGAGAAGAGAGAGAAGGAAGAAGAAGAAGAGAAGAAGGAAGAAGGAGAAGGAGAAGAAGGAGAAGGAGAAGAAGGAGAAGGAGAAGAAGGAGAAGGAGAGACAGAAGAGAAGGAGAGGAGAAGGAGAAGAAGAAGAAGAGAGTGAGAAGGAGAAGGAGAGGAGGAAGAGAGAGGAAGAGCAGAAGGAGGAAGAAGGAGAAGGAAGGGAGAAGGAGAAGGAGAGAAGAGAAGGAGAAGAAGGAGAAGGAGAAGGAGAGAAGAAGGAGAAAGAGAAGAAGGAGAGGAGAAGGAGAAGAAGGAGAAAGGAAGAAGAAGGAGAAAGAAGAGAAGGAGGAGGAAGGAGAGAAGGAGAAGGAGAAGAAGGAGAAGAAGGAGAAGGAGAAGAAGGAGAAGGAGAAGGAGAAGAAGGAGAAGGAGAGAAGGAAGAGAAGAGAAGGAGAAGGAGAAGGAGAAGAAGGAGAAGAGAAGAAGGAGAAGGAGAAGGAGAAGAAGGAGAAGAAGAAGGAGAAGAAGGAGAGAGGAAGAGAAGGAGGAGGAGAAGAAGGAGGAAGGAAGAAGGAGGAGGAGAAGAAGGAGGAGCGTGAAGAAGTGAAGAAGAGAAGAAGAAGGAGGAGGTGAAGAAGAAGTGGATGTGAAGAAGAAACAGAAGAAGGAGGAGGTGAAGAAGAAGAAGAAGAAGAAGAAACAGAAGAAGAAGAAAAGACAGAAGAAGAAGGAGGAGGTGAAGAAGAAACAGAAGAAGAAGAGAGGAAAAGAAGAAGAAACAGAAGAAGAAACAGAAGAAAGAAGAAAACAGAAGAGAAGAAAAAAGAAGAAGAAACAAAAGAAGAAGAAACAAAAGAAGAAGAACAAGAACAACAACAACAACAACAACATTATTATTATTATCTAAACCCAATAAAAAACTATGATGTAAAGAGGATTCCACCAATAGTAACATTCCAGTAATCAAATGAAAGTTAACAAAAACTGCACAAGTGCATAATACACTGCTCACCTTGGCTCTGCGGAGAACAGAGTCTTTGGAAGGATCATACGGATGGTCCTTGGAGGGGATCTCCAGCACAGCTGGAAGGGGATTGTCATTGTCCCCATCAATCACATGGCGTATCTGCTCTGCAATCTGCAGGCATGAATGCAATCAGTGAGTGGACTGCTGGATGCTGCTGAAGGGGAAGATGAGAAAAGAATGGAGAAGAGTGCAAAATAGAGAAGGGGTAGAAAGCAAAGGTTGGAGATGAAGGGGCAAAACGAGCAGAGAATAAGGGAAGACAAAACAAAGAGCAGGGGGAAAGTAAAGAATCTGGAGGAAAAAGTTAATGGCAAAAAAAAAAAAAAAAGAAATATTAGAGGCAAAAGATAAAAAGCAGAGAGTGAGGAAGAACAGGAGAAGAAAACACACAAAAAAAAATGTTGGAAAGAAAGGAAATATGATAATGACAAAAAAATAACTACCGCTGTAAAACACAAACAAAACTTAAGACCTCGTATCTTCTCCCAACTTTATATAGTAAAAATGAAAATAAAAAACAAAACCCTTCTTCATATGATACAAATGAAATCTAAAAAATTAATGTTCATATGATGAAATCCAAATTAAAAAGAATACCTCTTTTTATAAGAAATATCTAATGAAACTAAAACATCTATGCTTCATACAATGCAAGCTACATTCTTAAATATACACAACCAATAAAAATCCTATTTAAAAACTTCTCTGCTTACATTCTGGTTAATAAGGATAATATCAATGTCATCTCTCTTTGTGAACTTCTTGTAGCATTCCTCGATCTCCTGAACACTTGTGTCTGAAAGTAAAAACGGAAAGATGATCATCCTGTGCTACTGTCCAACAATTACTTACAAAAGTGATGCATTTGTTACTGAAGGTATGAGGTAAATACTAATCATTAGCTTAAAAGAGTATAAGTATTTTTCATCAACTGTATTTCCACGATAAAGCAATTATTGTTCTATTATCACTATTGCATCGAAAATGTAATCAAATACTTAATTCTATAAATAGGATATATATACACATATATCTGATAAACAGTATCAAGACACCAAGCCTATATGGATCATGCCATAGTGTGCTGTTGTCATATTGTAGTCAAGGACAGAAAAGTCGTGCTATGATTTATGTCAGGTACCTATTTTCCATGTATCTAGTCAGGACACCTATGCCGATGTCTCCCATGTTTTCAATTATCACTACACAGTTACAAATAGCATGTCAATGAATCACATTTTAAAGTAAAACTACAGGATTCAGAGTATAAAGTATTATATATGGAATATATGTAGATGTTATTCATATTAATTGTAAATAAGAGATTAAGTGTTAGACCCTATGACCAGATAACATGATCATTATTTCATCTGGATACTTTTGGCTTAAGGGGCAGGTGACTTGTACATACTGTCATGAGAAAATCTGGGTGAGGGAAGGGGTGAGGAAAACTTGCCATCATGAGAAAATCTGGGTGAGGGAAGGGGTGAGGAGAACTTGCCATCATGAGAATTTTGGCTGAAGGCTGGGTAACAGGAATGACTTGCCACGTGTGCACAAAGCTCTTTGAGCGTGATCTGACTTGGTGCACATTTAAGAAAAGGCTTTAACATTATTTCTATTGATGAACAAGTGTAGAATGTTCCATCTGTGAGCCATGACAGGAAGGGCACTGACTCCAGGGAGGATGCTATTTCCAAGCTCAGTAGTCTATTCCACCCTGCTGTGCCCTGCAGTGCAGGTTGTATTACAGAAAATTGAATATAAAAAAAAGGAGAAGCTGCAACCAGGGTAAGCTCTGTCACACCATACTTACTCTTGTCCACCACCAAGAAGTTTGGCTCCCTTTTCTTATTCATTTCACCAATGCCGCCCAGGAGGAACCCCACGCAGGTATCCTGTAGGGAGAAAATGCATGGCTTAAAACTATATGTTTTTCCAATCTGCATAAACAAAAGATCCGATTCAAAAGCTGGAAGAAAAATGTAACAACACATACTTTCCTTGCTAATTACAGTTCTTTTGGTGATTTACTGACAGCACCATACTCTTGTTTAGAAATTCTGTAATACTCATAAATTGCTTAAAAGATTCAAACTAAAAAAATTCTAGCAAATTCCATTTGCAACCATGCCCCCATCCTCTCTTTCTTCCTCCCTATTCATCAGACCTGCTAACTCTAGAACACCTACCCTCTTTAATCTTTAAATTCTGCGTAAATCAATACAAAATATACATATGTGTCCAGTTTTTTTTTTTACTCTGAACCTACAAATCATATTAATCTCCTAAGACACCTTATATAAAAACAGTGATACTATATAAATTACTGATATCATTGATGATGATAATGAAAACTATTCTCTCTTTATGGTATGAGAAAGCTTGGACAAATTGAAGAAGACATTCTTGTATACAAAGAAGGTGGTGTTGGTAAAAGAAATAATCTGCAGACACAAATTGTATTGCCACAAATAAAGGAAAAAGACAGCCAAAGACCCCACAGTATTATTTTTTTTTTTTATTGGGGGGGGGGGGTAGTGCCACTACCAGTCACAGCAACTTAAATTGTTTAAGAAGCAGCAGAAGACGACAAAGAAGAAAAAGAAAAATTGTCTTGTGAAGTTGCAGTGCATCTGTACTGTAAAGAATAATCCACTTATTCTTGTTACTCTCCTCCATATTCTCATGGTTTTGAAATAATCAAATACTAACATACAAACCTTGCATTTGAGAATCATAAGAAAACTGAAAAAAATAGTTAAGCAAAAGTCAGAGCCAAGTCTAAGGCTTGGTTTGGGTGATAACAGCTCTAATCACACCCACACATCTAGCTGAAATGACTTGTGAATGACATACTCCATACTTTTATTTACTTTTATCTGTTGTAAAGATAAAAATTACCACTTTTATATCTCTTCCAAGATTAAATTTTCTAGGTGCTGGCCTGCTTCATCATGAAAATATGTGCTCAGGAAAAAAAGTTCTACAAGTTTTACTAATATACTCATTTTTGTTTTACAAACTGCAGTAACAGCCAAACCTTTACAACATAACAAATTGGAGATAAAAGACTTAATGACACCTATATATCCACTACTAGCCTTGTACACACTGATGTACCCTCTCTGCTTCTTGGTGTTCTGACAAGATTCATATCTGAATCTCCGTGAGCCATACCGAACCATGTGCTGGGTGGCACAAAGCTGCTCCAGGGAAAAAATAAAAGCATGAGCTTTCTATGCTCCTGGCTGCTGCATAATCAACTGTTTAAGTAATGAGACAAAAAAAAAAAAAAAAAAAAAAAAAAAAAAGCCTTAAGCCAATTTTTAGGGGGGTAGTTTCTCCTCAATGACCAAGCAAATGCACAAGCAAGCAAACAGTTGTTTAACTGGCACAAATCACAGCAGGCTCAATCTTGCCTGTGATGGGACATAATCCTAGTGAGAGTGATAGTCTGTCCATGATGTGATAGGATGTCAATCATCTTGAGTGGGTTAAAAAAAAAAAAAAAAAAAAATCTTTACAGAATGCATGGATGCACTTGCATCCATGCAATTCACCAACTTCATGTAAAAAAATTCATTCATCAATCTATGTTGCCGTAACTGGGTGTGCCCTTTGGGCACTACCTGAGGCCCCCTAACATCCCCCGGGAAACAGTGTCTTCACCTCGGTGTGCACAGCAAGATAAAGCTGAATCTCTAGAGCACAGAGTGGACATAGGCTGAGAGTAGCCCTTTTTGCAATTTTTTTCCTTTATTTGTGGTATTACTGTTTGTGTCTGCAGATTATTTCTTATACTGCTTACTGCAACGTTTGTTCTCTACAAGAAGAGCAAATTCAAATTGCCCTAACTTAAAGCATCCATACTGTAAAGATTAACCAAAAATTTGGTGAGTCTTACAGTATGGATGCACTTGCCTACTCTGGGTCAAAAATTTGATTCATCAATCTAAGTTACCGTAACTGGGTGTACCCTTTGGGCTCTACCAAGGCTCCCCAACGACCCCCAGGTAACATTGCCTTCACCTCAGTATGAACAGCAAGTTTGAGCTGAAACTCGGGAGCACCAAGTGGACTTGGGCTGAGAGCAGCACTTTCCACAATCTTTTTCTTTTATTTGTGGCATTACCATTCATGTCTACATATTATTTCTTGTCCTGACTACTGCAACAAGAATATAATATTCAAATTGCCTTAACTTAATGTGTCTATATCACAAAGATTAACCATAGATAGAAAAAAAAAATAATAATAATAATGAATAGTCAAAAGAGGAACCACTGGAAGCTCTATGTGACATGATCACATCATAAAAAAATTTGGCTTATGGTCCAAATGACATGAATATGTCGTCATTAGAAAATTTGGCTGAGGGCAGGCTTACAATCATGCTGTCATGATAATTTTTGCCGGGAATATGGAAATGACTCCCCATGAGTGAATAAAGCTCTTGGAGAGTAATTAGTCTCAGTAGATATATATTCCTACTGGTAAACAAGTGTGGAATATACCATTCCACACTTGCTGGCTCCAAAGGGGGCAATATTTCCTGTTCATGCATGTAATGACCAGTGGCACAGAGTGTATTACATAAAATCAAATAATATATATATATATGAAAAAAAAAAAAAAAAAAAAATGGTGCTAGCAACAGCAATATTTTTTTCGCTTTTAATAACGATATTCTGAAGTGCTTAATAATCAAGTGATTGTTATTCATGTTTGCTTTTAGATATGAATAGACTTTGCTTTGTTTTGTTGTGCTAGTTATATTGGATTTCAAATATCTGTGAGAAAGAAAATTGGGTGCAAGCAAAAATTATCATAGTTGTGACTCAAGATCAGCTTCACTGCGAGCATTTACTTGTTTTCCAACCTGGGTTGGGTACACCTGTGAGAGTCTCTACTCAGACCTAATGCCCTGATTTTGAGCCACATAAAGGCAGTAAATTACTCGGATCTAATAAGTTAATGAAACAAAGGGTAATTTTCTATATTACCTCCACCGATTGGACATCAATGATTTTGGGGTCATTGGATTCCTAGGACTATCCACAATGCAAATATGTAGGTTTTATTGCGCAGAAATCCCCCGTTAGCAACAAACTTGGACACGATAGCAGGGGAGCGCATGAAAGGTTTCTGGGAAAATATGGGGTTAAATAACACTAATAATATACTAAATGGACAGTATATAATTACTAATCAATTAATAAGTCCCTGGGGTGGGCTGCCGCCCCCCAAACTCCG